ATGACATGAACGGAAATGCACCACAACCTATATATTGTCCTATCATATATGATAGGACAATATATAATTATTATAATAAGTAGTGATTGTGATCCAGTCCCAATTCGTGGATACATGTAAAAGACAATCCTATCGTAAGATGACAATATCAATTTAGAATTTTCCCCTTTTGAGAGTTAGTCCTCTTTCCACCCTGCCCAAGACGGCTGTACAATCAAAGCATAGTTCAAGTGTTTAAATCAATATTGATTTAAAATGATGGTTTAAACCAAAAAGGAAATTATAAAATTCAATACAAGTCATTATCTTTCAGGCGTACCCAACAAAAGCTCCCTAATGCGGCTGCCTTACACCTCTTTTATTAAATATTTATTTTAACACCAAAAGTCATTTTCGTGTTTTAATGTGGAAAAAGATAACTAGACGAAAAACTATCAACGATATTAATATAATTGAACAAAATGACTATTTCCTTTAAAAAGTTGTCCATGTAGGCGAATTTTACATTGATCGTCGTCAATATCAGGCTTCAATTTCCCCCTTTTTCAGAGAATTTAGGAATGGCATATTTCATGCAGGTTTGATTCTAATTCCATATCCACAATCTGTCACCACTATTGCCTGGTTTAATTTGTTTGTATATTTTACATGATAATATGCATCATTTAATTGGTTTGTGTGACAATTTTTCAATTTCCAAGTCAAGTCAATGCCCCATCCCCAAGAGTTTAAAAATTAACCGTGCGTTCCATTATGGAGCGTTTAACTTCAATTATTCATAATTATATTCCGCCCGCCCCCCTTAATGGATTGACGCCCCTGTCCAAGCCAAACATTAATGAGCACAATGTTGTAACTCACGGTTCTCTTTTTCTATCCATTAATTTCTATCGTATTCATTCATAATGCCTGAAACTCTGAAAGGATAACATCAAAACAAATGTATGTCCTGGAAATGCTTATAGGGGGTTTCTCCACAGAAATTTCCTTTGAAAATAGAGGCAATGTCAGCGCTATGGATGTTGACGTTTAGTGGTTTAGTGGTGGTTATTTTACCTGGCTGCTATGTAAGAAAGCATAAATGCTTGTTAGTAAGCAACCAGAGGACCGACGGATTTAGGTCCTCTCCGAGGGACCTGGCAATGAGGATTAATGCCTTACCAAAGGCCACTAGCGCATCGACTTGGTTTCGAACCTGAGTCGCCACTCGCCAGATTACGAAAACCGGATTACGAGACCACTGCACTGATTTTACAATAGCTTAATAGAATTAGAAAGTTATTTTTTAGATATTGGTATTGACATCGTAACAGACATCACTGATGTCGTGAAATGACTCGCCTTAACCATCGAGATGGTTCTGGGATGTCTGAAAGCTTCATCTTCACCAGGCATCGCATGACAGGTTTGAATACGGGATGGCGATAGGCGTAAATGAAGGGATTGATGCAATGGTTACAGACAAGAATAATGAAGGAATACAGACAGGCGCATACGGGACCGTGAATGAATCGGACGAAGAGACATCCCATCTCGGGCATGATGCATAGATAGGATACAAAGACAACCATCAGGAGGTTCTTTGTGATCGCCATTTCATCCTTTTTTCGATTTTTGGAGCGACGATTAAACATGGATTGACACAAGTCGGCACTGGATCCGGTCATCGATGGTGTTCTTGGGATGGAGAGTGTACTGATGCATGCTTTAGGTTTGTTGAGTGCTCCCTGGATGTGTGCTGGGGTGCTTGTTTGGCTCGTGCTGGGAGCATCCACCAGTATGGGGAATGGCATGTTGGGCAAGATAGTTTCATCTTCCAACAAATCAGTCACGTTGATATTGGAGGAATCGCTTTCAAAATCACAACGGTACGATGTAGGACATTGTGTCATAAGATTCGCGTTTACACTACTGGGGTGCTTGTTAGTCAGTGATGACGGTGGTACTTGTAAATAAATGTTGCCACTTTTGTCATGTCTGTTACATTCACCAGGTGACGTATGTGGCAACTGGTGATTAGTTTCACTTGCTACATAGGGCTTGACAAGAGGGGGACTCATATTTGTTCCGGGAACCATTAACTTCCTCGTTGTTATTGTAGCGACCACCAACTCCCCATTCCTAGCTGATGCCAATGAGCCAATTCCATTGATTTGTAATGGCGAATCTCTGCTCGTAACATCCGTCACACATCCACAGGCTTTGCACAGTCTATGTGGTTCTGTAGATGAACACTGAAGACCTGTTGAGGTCTGGTCTATGGATTCAGAAGAATCCTTTTCGTTATCATGTGAATTAGCTAGTGTTTTTATGTCAGCAACAGGGGAACTAATGGACGAACTTGCAGAAAAATTCGAACTGACTAGCACAGAAGAGGATGGCATGGACTTAAACTGGTGAGTTTCTTTCTTCCTTAAGGTACGACGATGACGCTTTACGTGTAGATAAATTTGCAAGTAGCAAATCAAAATGATGAAGATGGCGGAGTTGGTGTTGATGAAGGCGATGACATCATAAAGATGGAGCTTGTTGTCGCCGTCGTTGATCATGCATGTGTGTGCGTTGATGTAGTGGTCGATGTTGTCCAGCTTTGGGACGTCGATCATGATAATAGCAAGAGGTGGGAATGCCCAAGTAAAGACAATGATGGCGGCTATATTTCTGGGGGAGAACAATCGGCGATAGAGTTCCCGTGGTCTTGTAACAATGATGACGCGTTCCAGAGCGATAACCGCCAGAGTAAGAATACTACACGAGATACAGACAACATTAAGAGCAGAAAAGATAAGTTTGAGAGTCGCCGAGGACACGTTGGTGTCATGTTTAATCATGTTCATGATCACGACGATTTGCCCAGGGAGAGTCAGAGAGGATAGTAAATCGCAGACCGCTAAACTTGCTATGAAGCAGTTTGTCTTGGTTTGTAGTTTCCTAGACATCATAATTGCTCCTAAAACTAAGCAATTTCCAACAACTCCTAATACGGCTACGATACATAAACACACCACAGCGATGGAGAGATGTAACTTTGAGTACTCCGAGATGACAGACATCATAGTTCCATTAGACATCTCATTACTACTCGCCATCTTGAATTCAATCACTCTTCTTATGAAGAAGTTTATTAACACTATTAATAAGAGGCTGTTGAACGTTGAACAATCCTTAACTGCACTTTTTGAAATTAATGTACAACTTACTGTTTAAAGAAAGACTGCATGGTGAAATGTTTATTTCAGTTTTACTGAATCTAGCTATGTCACTGATAACTCGGTCATCCAGGGTTGGCATTTGCAACGCCTAATCGAACGTATCCCTTCAACTCCAGATGGAATCAAATACAGCTTAACAGGCAAAATCACAAATGTACCCCGAGTCGATCCCCCTGAGAGATGGATGGAGATACAAGAGCTTTTCAGAAAGATCGTGAGGATGATACCTTTATTGAACGTTTGCTTTCGCGGCACCCTTAAGTGTGAAATGAAATGACGTTGTCTTTCAGGTGTAAGAAAACTTTCATTACGCCGTGCCACCTGATATTGAGATAACGCTGAAGTGCATGCAGCTAGATGATTCGTTATCATCGCCTTTATGCCTTATATTGGTTTATAACTGTTACTTTAAATATAGACCGTCATAATGGGAGTGGTGAAATTGATGGGGGTACACGGGGATGAAAACGGATGAATAAGGAGAGGTAGATGGTTATAAGGCAACAAACTAGAAGAAAATGGAAATGTATGGATAGGCAGATGGCTGAGTTAACTTTATAACACAGTATAAATCAATGATAATTTAAAAAATATATAAAACATAAACTTTTAAACGTCTTTTCATCAAAGTTGCATTTTCGAATTAATTAGACTCAGATCGTTGAAGTCTCTGATATGTTTGGACTTCTACATGGTCTTTAATTAATTTGTAGCATATTGTTTTTCCACCGTCCGAAACATCACAATGACGCGATTCATTTAAAGATACATCATACATAATCAAAAGATGAGCGTAGAAAGAGGGGGAGGGGTGCTCCACCTTGATAATTTGGGAGTTGCAGGTATTCGGGCAATCGCCCTGCCATGTTCTGGCAGAGAGATGATCTATTCGTATTTTTTGTATATTATCTCTCTGTATACTTTGATTAAGAAATGTTCTTGTCTTAATGATACTCGCTTGCTTGCTTTTCATCTTTCTGACCAATTCACAAATTGGATGCAAAATGCGTGAAAAATGTTCGTCCCTATACGCCTATTAATATGATGAGGATATCATTTAGATATGTGCTTAGACATTATCTTGGATTAAATCTGAGAAACACGATGGGCTTACTTGTTGATATCACTGAACTCACCGTATTGGGTATATTAAATCCCCCCTATATATCTAATATTTGGTTGTTTTTGCCTCATTTAATCCGAATTCTCTCTCTCTCTCTCTCTCTCTCTCTTTCTCCTTTTTCCTGCTTCTTCTTAAGTAATTCACCTCCTTATTTCTCTTAATTGTCTCATTCTCTCCCCACCCGCTCGATAACTATCGCTCCCTCTCTTTCTCTTTCTATCTTTTCCCACATTTTCCGTAAAACGACTAAAAAGACAATACTGGTACTGATAACTCAGGTTATTTAGGATACGGGTGTGCATGTTCACTCCCTTTGAAAGCACCCCATCCTATCTCCGGTGTATAAAGTCAATGCGGGCCGGATTTTGTGTATTACGGGCCGACCTTGTGGCGTGAAAAGTACCTCTTTACCGAAAATTTTGGAGTGGGTGAGGGGTCCGGGTGATTATTTACCATTGTTGGATTTTCATGATTACTAGGAGGCCGAAGATTGATAATTTCTAACATAACTTTTACTCATATCATGAGATTTTGTTTAGATAGTACCCCTATTAATAGATGAAGAAAATCGCGGGGCAGAAATCATATTTTTTTGTAAGTCAGAGCGAATAATTCGAGAGAAAAAAAACAAAGAGATTCGATCGTACATGTACTATGAAAAAAAGGGGAATAGCGCCATCTGTTGAAGTAGGGTACAGTTCTTGACAACGGAGACAACAAACTATTCCAATTAAATTATATTTTGTTCGTCTGTCAGCGTCTTATTAGTAATAGAAATTCTTCATTAAGAGATCAAGATGACGACACCAAGAGAGACTGAAACGAATGAGTATCTTGATACACACAGGATACCTGAGTTGTTTCATAATATCACCAGCCAGCTTGTATTTCACAGACCGGGTAAGTTATTACGGTCCCATCTATTCAATTCGATGTAGTATATGTCAATAAAAGCTACTCACATTCTTATAAAGGGAGCTAGCCTTGAACTTAAAGGGGAAACCTATTTCTGGGCGCCTAACATTTCGCTTGGAAGTAACGAGATTATCACTTGTATTTCCCTAATAATTGATCACATATTATTCTCATATTCTAGTCTTTCTAGAGAGTGAGTGTGCCGAAAATTGTGTCGAAATTTGCCTACAAACATTGAAACAATGTTATGTAACTGTCACGAGAATAGATGGCAGTGTGGCATTTTGACATGTCATTGCTAAAACAAAAGTTTACATGTCTTTGCATTTCCATCGATTTAATACTTGACATACAGTTCTCTCTCTTGATGTGTGCATGTAGATCTATGTTATGTAGACAAGTTTCATTTTTGCTTTTACAGAGAATCCAAAGACGTTTATGATCGACTACATCTCCAAGCTGAAAGAAGGTCGTACAACCCAAATGAATTATCCCTGCCTGTTTGATGATACAAACATTGACTCTGTATTTGGCATGCTAGACCCCACCAAGAAAGGTCATATTACACTTGAGCAGTATAGAGAAGGTGAGTTAAGAACATGATTGTAATTTTGTGCTTAGGTATTCCTTGAAATCATTGATTGTTATTCTTGAGTGCCTTGCCCTTGAGAAGAGTTCTATTCCTTACTTGGGCTAGATGTGAAGGGAAATGCAGTGTACATAAAGAAAGAAACCTTGACCGTTCATATTTTTAATTAGCATAACTGTTTGCCCTCAGCAAATGAGTACTGAGTACTCTGTTCAAGAATATTTTTTATGAGTGTCACAAACAAGTTTGAAATTTGTATTTTTTTTTCTCCATTACCCCACCCCTCCCCAGACATTATTGTACATAGACAAACTGACTTGTATTTTTTTCCTTTGAAGAAATTTGTATACCATAAGGATTATGCTCCCCCCCCCCCATTTTGTTCTTCTTTTTCTTCTACTTCAACTGATACTACTTCTTATTCGTCTCTTTGTACCTCAATATCTGACATATTTATCTATTATTTCAATTAAATTTGATTATTTTCCAAAGAAATATGGTCTAGATTACCTACACAATTTGGAGACATGTATATCGCAATGGATCAGAAATTTGACAACATGCTTTGATCGGTTGTAGAATAAGTTGACACACTAATAATTCTTGTTGCTGTTATCCATTGTGCCATACAGCAATGCAAACCATGGGCTGTCAGAACTTTGATGAAAAGCCCACTGGGGTAGACCACGGGCGTGTCACAGCAGACATCTTTGCAAGAGAAGTGTGAGTTTTTTTTAATTTCTATTTTGAATATTTTAACTCTTTGCCCGCCACGTTCGGCTAGCGGAACATACAGCGGGCTGCCAACTTCGACTCAAGTCACATTTCATTCACAATACACACGGAACGCATTTAATTATATTGTACGCACACATACACAATAGTAACGCGTGCTTCGCATTGTATACACATCACACTTCATTGCACCGCTTTCGCAGACATTGTTTACATTGACATTTTCCGAGAAAAATTGAGTTTTTGAAACTGCTTTTGCAAATATTCTGATGAGCTAGGATGGCCCCTATTAGGAGGAGATGGGACTTCTTCACTGCTGATCAGGTACGAGAACTTGTGATGGACCCTGTTCCAACAGCTGACTCTGATTCAGAGGAGAGCGAGACTGACTCTGACGAGGAAGATGAGCCTGGTCCCACACGTACAATTTTGCGTAATCCCACTGTATCTTCTCATCCTCACTTTCTCTTTCTGCCTTTCTTTCTCTGTCTGCCTATCTGTCTTTCTCTCTCCGTGTCTCTTCTTATTTATATCCCTATCTGCCTATCTCTTTCTTCTTCCCCTCCCCCTCTATCTCTATCTTCTCACTCTCACTTTCTGTATCTGCTTATCTCTTTCTCTCTCTCTCTCTCTCTCTCTCTCTCCCTGTCTCTTGTTATTTCTCTCCCTATCTGCCTGTCTCTTTCTTCCTCCCCTCTCTCTGCCTCTCTCTATCTTGTTCTCACTCTCATTATCTCAACCTGCCTCTGTCTTTCTCTGTCTGCCTATCTGTCTTTCTCTCTCCGTGTCTCTTCTTATTTATATCCCTATCTGCCTGTCTCTTTCTTCTTCCCCTCCCCCTCTATCTCTATCTTCTCACTCTCATTTTCTGTATCTGCTTATATCTCTTTCTTTCTCTCTCTCTCTCTCTCTATCTCTCCCTGTCTCTTCTTATTTCTTTCCCAATCTGCCTGTCTCTTCGTTCTTATTCTCTTTCTTTCTCTCTCCCTCTCTCTGTCTACCTCTTGTTATAATGAACATGTCAATATGAGACTACATATGTAGACGAATATATTTTATTCTTATTTATTATACATCAGCTTTCTACAATTCATAACTTAGTACATGTTTCAAGCATACATTATGTTCATGGCTTGCCTTATTAGTGTAGAAAATCAATAAGTTCTTCTATTCATTTCTTTCAATTCTAATAGCTTGCACAGCCTTGCAAGTAATAATAGAATGTTACACCATCTTACCTACAGACACAATAAAGGTCATCAAAGTACAATCAAGAGACAGGAAGTCTATTCAAAAGTACCCAGGGTCAATTTCAATAGGAGATTAGTTCATTGTCGGCTTACTCTTTATTCAATCCTAAATTACCAGGCTCATTGTGACCTTCAACACATGAATTTGGTATGTAGTGAAAGCTCATGAATACATCTTTTCAATGAACTAACTCAGGACATAAACCTCCATAACAAAGTATTAGATATAAGAGGTATAGAATACCCTTCTAAACGAAAACTTGGATACAAAATGTATAGTTGATAATCTCAAAATTTATGATAATATACATTACAAAAATGATACCATTGGCAAGACTATTAATTTCTATACAATATTGCTACACAAAGTTTTTCATTACAGTACACCAATCAAAAGTTATTGCGAGTTGAATAAGCATAGTCCATGCAGAACCCCTCCTAAGGTGGCACCCTAAAAACAATGTGGCACAGGGGGGATTGTGTACGTGGCGGGCAAAGAGTTAACTGCCCATCATATCAGAGAGCCATCTCAGGAGACCTGCATCAAATCTGATAATTTTTGTCATCCACTAGAAGTTGCACATTCGAAAATATGACCATATGACTGTGTAATGTAATAAAAGGGATCATTTTTACACGGAAACATTTTTGATGGGAGTCTTTTAGGACTTTTATTGACCCCAATTTCACTCATTCAAAAAACGGTAATACTCTGTTTTTGCACCATGTACACAGATGCCAGTCTATTATATTTGACCCCATTGAATATCACTTGCAGAACCCCCCCCCCCCCCAAAAAAAAAAAAAAAAAAAAGATGAAGGAGCATGTGAGCAGTATGAATTCTAGTTATATCTTATTGAAAATTGTCTATCAACCAATGCACTTTGTTTTCGTTACTTTTATATGCAGGAAAGCTGGTTTAAAGAAGGCATCAGGAACCTTTGAGCCGCTGATCTAAAACTACTCCTGACTTGTAGCTCATTGATCCCAACCATGGAGGTCAATTGACTCTCCATCCATGGATGTCCGAGTCCTTCCTGTGATCCTGCTGGCAGGCTTGAACATTATTCTTCATTTAAAACTTTCAACTTTATTGATGATTATAAAAGCATGCTTATCCACATAACTGGCATTCTTTACTGGACTGTTAGATACTTGAAATGGGCACCCCCAAAAAATGCTTGGTTGGAATGAGACTTCTATAGTTCTTAAACCCCTTCAAATTACCTTTCGAGAATGCTGTGTAGATATCATTCAACAGAGGTAGACCTTTTGTTTGTTTTCAATGAATTAATGGCAATGATTCGGTAAAGACATTCTTTATTTATTAATTGGTACATGACTCATTTTTCTCTTCTTTTTTTCTTTCTTTCACCTTTAACATAGATTGGATTCCTAAAATATCCACACACAAAAATCAAATTGGAATGTAAGTGATAACGACTTCAAGTTATGGATCCGTCAGCAATATGTCATTGGATCGTAAATTAATTTATATCTATTGGGTTACACATGTATTTTCAGGACTTCAGATAGCATTCTCCCCAAATTATTCTTCCTAATCCAGGGGTTTTGACATGAATTAGACATATTTTTATATTGATAATATAGAGAAGGATGCAACAGGAAGTCATGCAACTTATTGTTTTGTAAATATAATGTATATGTCACTACATGTATAAATAATTATTAATGACTCTGTAAATAATATCAGATAGAAAGTGTTCTAGCTGTGATCAAGATGGTCGTCTTCTTTGATTCCGTTGTGTCTTCCCCATGTCTAAATAGAGATGGTGTGTGTGTGAGAGAGAGAGAAATGACTGACTAATGGGGCGTTGCAAGAAAGTTGCAATCAATTGCAAATCCCCCAAAATCAAGCGTAATTCTTGCGATTAATTGCAAATTTGCAATTGATCGCAACTCAACTTTCTTGCAACACCCCATTAGTAAAAGAGAGAGAGAGAGAGAAAGAGAGAAGGGGGGGAGAATAAAAGCTAGATCTAGTTAACTTAATCTAATTATTAAAACTTTAATCCTAACAAAATCCTAGGAAATTTAGGAGACTAGTTGCAAGAAAGTTGTTTTGCAATCGATTGCAAATATCAACTTGCAATCAATCACAACTTTCTTGCAACGCCCCATAAGACATAGATCTAAAGTGCAAAGGGGAATTTGAAAGGGAGGGAGAAAGATGAGAAGGGAGGATGGATGAAGGAGGAGGGGAGGAGGGTGTGTAAAGGAAGGAGTAAGAGAGGGACTGTAAACGTGTATGAAGTACATTATGAGAGATATAATTGAGAATAGAGTTGTATGGAGACTGAAAGAAAGAGTCAAAAAGATGATTTGATAGAGGGAGAGACAAAGAAAAGGAGGTAGAGGATGGATAAAGGAGATGTATAAGAGATTTAAGATCGGGTTGTGACAAGGTAAAAATATACTTACCATTTTAGAGGAAAACGCTGAGGTATTAAAATTAGGATTCTGCTAAATTTCTAACTTATTTAATTGGTATACAGCAATCAATCAATTGGTAATTTCAGAAAAAGACCACTCGATCTAGATTTTGAAATCTATCATCATTATTTTATATGAATTTTTTGTGTTCATGTTTTTTATTATTTTAATGTGACATTTATTAGTAACGTTTGGGTCCTAGAAGACTTTCTTTGCTTATCATTTCTTCATAATCCCTGTAATTCATCAGCTTTATATCATCATCATCACAACCAACAACAACATTACCATCACCATCGTCATCATCTATCAATTACCACCGCCATCATCACAATTCTTCTCTGATCTTCTTCAGGTCTCTCCCGATCCTCTCGAATACTAGTACCCCGTCTCTATTTTAATACCCACTTTCTCATGGTCGTGCACATGCATGAGTATGTTTAAATAATAAATGCTCTTGTATGCCGCACTGTGCAATTTGTGTTTTATTGTACAATAAACAAAAGTAATTCAGGAGAAAAAACAATTCAATCTTCCGAAAAGTCTTTTATTTCTATTTTGCCAACAATATAAGCTGGTAGGAATTGATGATCCTTAATTGTTGCATTGCTCACTTAGTGTTGCATTTTTAGATTATTACGTGTTCAACTAAATTATCATGAAAAAGAGAACGCTGGGTATGTTGATGTTCGTTGTATTATAAGTTATAGCATTAGTTCACTAGCTGCTGCATGAAGATCGTCAGAGAATGCCAGATCGGTGTCTAACTTGTAACAACTGCAAAGGGAGGACAGCAATAGATTATGTGATGAATATATATACTGAACAAATTCATTTGATGATCTGATGATATGTAAGAAAATATATTTACAGTCAGTGACAGTTAAAGGTAATACAAATTTTTGGGAATTTTCAAAATTGGGTGGATAGTGATTCTTTACAATTTGGATATATCTGGATGCCCCTGTGGATGTATTATAAGCACTAGAAAACTTAATCCCTGAAACACTTCTGCTTTCGAGAAAAAATTGAATATAAAAATTTACCGGTGCTCCCGGTAAATTTTGATAAATTGCAAATAGCGCCTACGGCCGTACAATGATAGCTGCGACCATGAAAATATCAGAGTATGTAGTTGTGATATATAATTTCCAAACAGAAATAGCTAATCGGTTGATTTAAGTCAAGAAACATTGTTTTATATAGCTTAAAGGGGAAGTCCACCCTGAAATTAAGTTAGTTTTAATAGGAGTAGAAAAATGAGAGAAACAAGTCAGTGAAAGTTTGAGCAAATTCCGATTAAAAATAAGGAAGTTAGGATTTTTGAAGTTGTGATCAATCAAACACAAATTGGCAACTCTATGACGTATCATGCGAGCTCAACTTCCATTTGCTCAGTACTAAAAAAATCTAAAATTTTCATTTTCCCTCAAGAAAAATTTCAACCATACATGCACCCTAAATATAATAATTGCAAATATGTTTCTATACTCCCCCTGCAAGGAACAAATATATATTCCGTCATCAATAACGAAGAAAACATGATTTTATGGAATATTATTCACAAAGCAAACGAAGGAGAGCTCGTATGATAAGTCACAGAGTTGCCAATTTGTATTTGATTGATCACAACTTCAATAATTCATAACTTTCTTATTTTCATTCAGAATTTGCTCAAACTTTCACTCACCTGATTTTCTTATTATTCTGCCTCTATCGAAACAAACTTATTTTGGGGGTGGACTTTCCCTTTAATTAATATCTTGACCTTGAGAGGGAGCTTTACAACATAAAGAGATCATTGTTTACAATTTCTTAAAGTAGACTCGATTTCAGCAGCGACAACGATCACTTTATATTGTAGGATCGCATATGCTTCCAATATGTTCACTTGAACCAAATTCATGACCCCATACCAAAACTTTGGATTACCTTTAATACGTGTTGTCCATCGACTTCTAAATTTACTCCACACGTTCATTATAATTATGTGTACAACTGAAGTAATTCAGAAAATGCATATCGTTAACTTGTGTGGTGAGAATTTTATCTTCATGAGAACTAACGTAATTATGTCACAATACTTTTGAAGTGTTACGCAAGATAATCTTTGAACCTTTAAGAAATGTTATGCACTTCTATAAAGCGCATATACATCATTTCATTTTTCATTTCTTCACAAAAAAGACCTCTGTTAGGTTTAGCTTAAGTTGCCTATCAAAATCGTTATGGTCATTTGAAGCAATATAAAGCTATTTAGGAGGGTACTTGTGCAGCAACCTCCAATCCTTACTCGTCTCTACGAATTAACATGCGCAATATATGGGCAAATCAATGGTATTTTCAGGCAGCGAGATTTATTTTTTTTAAAGAAAAAAATGTCAGAAAGGTAATAATTCTTGTCCATTGCAGTAAATTCGAAGTATTTATGTTTTTAATAAGTGGACCTATCCAATCCAATCCATAAAGTATTTCGTAAAGTGCGTTTTTCTTGCGGTTACAAAACGCTTTGCAAAAATAATCCACATGTTTAGGGCAAGTCAAACAAAAATATATCACTTCAAATGAAAAACTTCCCAAGATGATGATAAGTGTTTGGCGTAATTACCTGTGCATTTGGCGCGAGTTTTCTTGCCGAAGAGGACGATCTGACAACAACTGAAGTCCTTGCATGTTTTTTTACCTCCGGCTAAGAAGTGCAATGTAAATCAGAGAACATTATAGTCAGACAGTATAGGCATACAACAACGATACAACAATTACAAATACAACTTAAAATACGAAACATTAATAATTTGATTGATTAACATAATATATGTGTACTATTAAAGACATATTAAAGGAATTTGATAGGCCCAGTGTTCATGCGAGCGTGTGAATCACAGAGGACTGGGGCAACAGGAGCACCCCTCCCCCTCATGATTACGGGACAGACTGCGTATTATATCAATGTATTTCAGATCAATGTGATCCCCCTTTTAATACCCTACTTGACCTCAATACGGGGCATATGTATTTTTTTAAACTGACATTGATCTGCTGAAGAATTTTAACTTAGTACAATCATTTAACAAATATTATAGCAAATATAATAGTTCTTAACGTATTCAATTTAAACTCTTTTAAAACCCAAATTTGACGATATTGACATTTGATTTGGGGTGCCATGCTCACCCTACACTTCACACAATACATACACACTCTCTATCTCTCTCTCTCTCTCTCTCTCTCTCTCTCTCCCTCATTCACTCTTCCTTTTCTTCCAGTAAAAGGGATCGTATCGTAATTTAAAAAAAAAAATCTTTTAGACGTACCCAACACAAGTATATTGGTTCTCAGGATATTATGCCAATCTTTACACAATCTGTACAATTTTTTTTGGATTTTTTGTAAAATTGCGAGGGAAACTAACTGAAAGAAGGAATCTAACTTTAAACTCAACTGCAGATAAAACAAGTTAGAATTTATCACCCGGTCAAACTGACAAGACCGTTGCCGGACCGACAATTGGTCAAGCACAAATTACCATTACCCCCAAATCTTCGAGATGTTGTCGATAATCGGTTGGTTTTTTAGTCAGTTTGAAGGTGTGACTATTTATGTTTTTACTTCATACCAGTTTCGCACTGTGTTTTAGGATAACAATTGCGATGTGCTATCTTTTTTAACGGATTCCATGCCTCCATGAGTTGTTCGTCTGAAAAGACAAAGTACCAAAACTACAACATAATTATTCAATTAAAATTCAAATTAATTCATGTTTCCAACAAAACATTACAAATCAATTATAAGCATTTAAAACAAATGTAAGAAATTCATGAAGGAAACAGAGGGGTCCACTAAAAAACGATGCTTTTGCAAGTGTGAACACCTCAAATGATACTTAGGAATAATGAGTAATTAAATTAACTAATCCGTAACTACAAAAGGAACTACAAAATATAGGGGAAAGAAAAAAGGGGGATGCCAACAGAGACGAGAAAGGGACAAGACAATGCTTTACACGACAAAGATAGAAGAACATGGTCATAATACAAAGAGTAGACAATGACAAAAAGAAGTGAAAGATCGGGGTACAGAAAATAATACAAAATGATGAGCTGCATGTGGGGTTGAGAAGAAGATAAGGAAAGAGAAATTTGCGTTAGAAAGGAAATAAGCATATAAAGGCACAATACAATATATAAAATTATGAATACTTCTTCTGAATTGAATAAAATTGAATGTGTAAAACGATTCAAAATTTAAGAATAATGTTAGGTAAAATAGACAAACTCCCATGTACCTTGAATTGAAGTACATATATAAACAGGGTGGGGAATGTGATGGACAAAGTTCTTTGGGAATATTTTTATCATGGAGATACGTGAATATACATCTGATTTATATGAGGGGCTTCGTTACTTTTTGCTACTTTGAAGAAATCTACACAATCTATAAACTGAAAGTCGTTATAACTAAAAAGAATCAATTAAGTTTTGAAGACCGAAATTTAGGCCTACCTTCGTCTGCTTCATCAAGGAATCGTGAAGCCACTGCTTGAGACAGGATCACTATGGTGATCAGGAGCATGAACGATCCCTTCCGAATATTCATCTTGAAGATCGAGGAACAGAACAATGAAAACGAGTACACTTCCAAACAGATAAAATTCTCGAATGGTTATAGATCTAGGTATCTTTCTTATATATCATAAGGGCTAGGTATATTTTGCTATAACAGAGAGACGTGATTCGGATAGTTGACATGACTGTGAGCATGATGGATGGACTGCCATACGGGTAAGGGATAATGATCATATTCGTATCACAGATCCTGTGTTATCCTAGACGAGAAAGCAGGTATCGACATACGGCCGCCAAATAATGTTCTTTATTATTTGTTTGTTCATTGTCATCGTTTGTTGTACGTCGTGCATGTCCTGATGGGCTATGTAATATAATATCGTATATATTATGTTGTATTTTTACCCAATGTATCATCATTAATTGTACCTTCCGAGGGCCCTGCAATCAATTGTTATCATGGCAGTCCGGCTTGAGTCGAGCTACCAGGATTATATACTGCATGAGCATAAGGCGTCATAATTAAACAGATAAAGATAAAGAAATTGCAATGGGTAGATTGTGATCAAGAGCGCTCTAACAGTAACAGGCTAAGTTCAAAACCAAAAAGTGAAAAACAATCTCGCTCGGTCGCTATTCAACCTCATGTTCATTTTCATTTGTTAATTTATTTCCATCTTCATATAAAAACAATAGGTCATTACAATATCATACATTTAAAACAAATACATGCACTACAAACAAATTCATGCAAAAATAATACATGTAAGAAGTCAAACAAAAATTAATTTCAAACAATATCAAAGAGACCAATTTAACCAGTCGAAAATTAGAAAAAGGAAAACTAAAATAAGACCAAAAGGCCTTGTACAACAAGTTCTTTTAAAGTATAGATCTAGATATCATTTGGGTTTTTCAACTTATTTTGTTACTGAAAGACATGTAAACAAATAGGAACTCCCTTCAGAATAGCCTATATGAAAAATTGAAGACAAAAATTAATAGTGGAATTGTATCGGCGATAAGACCGTTGACACTTCCAGGTCAGTTATAAGTTGATTTGAGTGATTCTGTGACTGTAATCAGTGTAGCGATTCTTTCTCGTTTGTTTGTTTGTTTGTATGTTTGTAAATGTTTTTTTTTCTAAACTAAATGATAGACATTAAAGATGAAGGCCCTATTGTACTGATGTTCATGATGTTTGTACATTTTTTAAACGGATACACTAAATTTACAAGTAACTTAATATTGTTAGCTTTTTATCTTCTTTTTTGTTGTTGCACATCTCTCTTTCTCTCACCCCCCCCCCAACCCCCTCGATATAGAAGATAGAAAAGTGAAACTGAAATTGGAATTTTTAAAAACAGCAAAAAGCGAGTCGCGCTCTCTCTCTCTCTCTCTCTCTCTCTCTACCTATATCTCTCTCCCCTCAATATCTTTCTCTCATTCTTTTCTTTCTCTGAAAGTTACTATAAAGCACCTAAACTCCTCCCAGATGGTATTGGAAATAGGGGGAATTCGCCTTTGGTATGCTTTTAATATTATTACATCACCTGAAATGGGGCCAATATACAATTAAAAAAAAAAAAAAACATACAGTCCCATAGGTGACGCTCAAGGCCATAAAAGTTTTTTTTTCTTCGAAAATTTGTAGGTCTCAAATACTCCCCTGCCCTCATACTTCCCTCCGGAGGGGAGGTAGGCCTATATATGCTTTGATTTGTGGACCTATACATTCATTCAATCTCTACTAATTATTTCTTTTAAAAAGAACAGGTACGATCAGGCGCGGAATTCCTTTTCCGTAAATTCATTTGCCAGGTACCTTGTTGAAAGTGCCAAAATTAAATGCATCAATCGGAACTGGTAATCTGTCAGTGCTGCCAGAAATGGAGGCTACACACCGTACCTGGAAACCCTTTGTTCACTAATGCGGCGCCATATGTAAACGTACACACATGTATGACTACGGAAGACATGCACGATCGAATCTCTGATTGATTAATAAATACGATTCGTCCAGACATAACTCGGCACCACTGAAATCGTACCTACTCTTGATCACTATTCTTCAAATTGAGGAAGCAGACACTATGAATATGACTGACAAAGAAAGCGGACAAAATATAAAGTTCCTCAGGTAGACAAAGGAACATCCCTTCACTGCTATTATGTAAAAATGTGTAGCACAGGTGTCACATGCATATTCACCTTTTTACATAATAGTAGTGAAGGGATGTTCCTTTGTCTACCTGAGGAACTGTATATTTTGTCCGCTTTCTTTGTCCGCCATATTCATAGTGAGAGAGGTTTTCAATGTGAAAAAATACACACACATAACATACACACAGACAGACAGACGGAGAGACAATGTGACTAGCTTTCAGATAGCAATGGCACCCGTGCATATATTTTATTCCAAGATGCTTATCAGCTGAAGGCAGGGGGGGGGGGCAACAGTGCAGTGCCCATGCCTCACTTTATTTCTAGAAACACACCTTAATTTTCCATTCAGAAAAGTCGCGACTTCTGATCGTAGACAACATGCCCTGCTTACTTGCACCATAATCCTAGACCTATCCCCATTTTAAGAATGGACACTCTTTATGCTTCATTTGTTGTATGTGCTTTATTCCACTTTTTTCATAGGCCTAAACAGCAAAGCAAAACAAGCGACAAAAAAAAAAAAAAAAAAAAGAGCAAAAAAAGAAGAAAAAAAGGCAAGAATACGATGCTCGACAAGTAAACTTGTCATATTACACATGCAGGGCGGAAAGGGGCAAGTTTTTAGCATCAACTGGGGCATTTACTCCATTCTAGCAGAGCGGGCCCTGTTCGGACGCCTTCCGACCTTGAGGATGAGCAATATCTAGGCCTACTTCAATTCAGGTTTTTTTTTTTGTTTTTGTTTTTTTGTTGTTGTTGTTGCTTTGCTTCAGGGGCGAATCTAGGGGGTTTGGTGGTTTAATCCCCCCCCCCCTTTTGGGCGGCCAAGTGAAAAAAAATCAAGAAAATAAAATAGTAAAATGGCCCGATTTTTGGAAAATCCTGGATCCGCCCCTGTGCTTTGTTCTGTTTTTATTATTTTAAATTTCAAGGTATGTTATTTCATTTTTTTGTTGTTTTTTTTTGTTTCAGTTTAAAAAAAATTATATATATTACTTTTTTATATTCTTGTATTTATTTATTTATTGCTTCTATAATGAGGGCCAGGGACGACCTAGTAATATTTTTTACTGGCGATTTGTATTAGGCCGATATGATACAAGCGCAAAATGTGTAGTACACTAACAGTACAGATATAAATCGGCGGTTCGTGTTTCCTAACTGGTGGAAAAATTATCGACTGGTACGGGGTTAGTAAATGGTACGGTAAGTCAACTTCTTTTAACTCAAATTATGATTTAAATCAATTTAAAGTGATTCCGATTCCTGGTAGTGCAATGGAACATAAATATATCAACAACAATTCATGTCAATGATAAATTTATAATTATAGGAATGTTGCTCGTACGTTTGTCCGGTACCGATCACGACGACCTGCCGCGCCGGTCATCTCGCGTGCTTTTCCTATGGATCTCCGTTGACTCCCAAAACCAGAACGCTCGCTCGCGCTCAGCATACCTGCCAACCACTCCGATTTAGGCGGAGTTACTCCGCTTTTTTCATACCCACTCCGAATTCCGATTGCATGCCTCAAAACTCCGATTTTTTGTAATTTTAAAATATTTTTAAAACAAACGACTGTTGCATATGACTAAAGCATAACACAGCACTGATAACCAGATCACGCCTTACGGGGAAACGATAAACATAAGTACTTTATATAGCGAACACATAGCCTCCGCACACAGCGCTGCATGTCGCACGCATTCACTCATAGGTTCACTGAATTTGACTACACTGGATAGACACTTTCGCGCACATGGTCCGTCCGCCGCCATCTTGTTTAATTCCAAAACAACACGGCCGCTATGTATGCTACGTGCGTTCGTGCCTTTTGAGGGGAGCATGGGGGTAGATGATCGTGCGCATGGCGCCCGCAATATAGTAGCGAAGACTTCGGTGATTCAGCGGGCGCATTGCAAGTGCAGTGCGGTATACGGTGTGTTGTTGTCAAAGACGTTTAAATATAATTACTAGACGGAAAGCAGCACGCGCGGAAACCATGCAGACGAATGGGATTAGGCTCCGCCTCTTTTGGATCATTTGAAGACAAAATAAGCACCCGAGGCGGCTTTTTGATTGGATAAGTGCCTCATGAATATGTATTTTATCGATAGTATCGTTTAAGAAACCGGATAATATATTTGACCTCACTTTAATTATGCAGATTTATGCACGACGCTACTATACACTCGCACAAACTGAGAAGAGTTAGTTCATTGAGAATGGGTGAGTAATTGATTGAAATATGAGTAGATTAAGTGAATTTAGTCATCAATTTTGAAAAAGCTGCAATAGTCTTCGTGATGTACGGTAATTTCATTACATTTGGAGACAGTTCTCAACAGATTTTGGGGGAAAAGACTAGTTAAATATTGCTCTTGAAATTGCACTTTGATTTTCATCGTCATGAAGTAGTTTGACAGCGGTTTGCCGTCATTTCACCCTAGTACTCCAGTTAGGGCCCCGGGGTTCCGGCAGGCCCACCTCTGGGAATTTCGGTGCTCATCTGCATCAAGATCAAACTGTTTTATTCCAGATTTGATCGTCATCATGAATCTAATTCACCGATCATCGATTTAATTTAAATCTAGATTTAAAGTTACACCTTAAAATAATCTACGAAGCATGATTTTGTTGATAATCCAAGTGGATTAACTCTTGTTAAAATCTATGTGGACTCGGTCTTTACTAAATATCAGTGCCATCCGTTCGCTCAGTTGCATCATTAATTATGATCATACGCGGTGCGTGTCAACTTTATTTCTATACCAAAATTATCTGTGACCATTGATAATCAAACAACTCCAAATCCTATTTAATTTAGATGTAAACCTGGAACTTATTAATACAAAATATTCAAAAAACATCAACACTAGGATTTGTTTATTTAGATTTTGTGTGGGTTCAGTGTGCTTGTCAATTTAGTTGTCAGTACTCTAGCCTAGTATAGATCTACTACTAGAGCCTAGTCCCTAGAGTCTAGTAGATCTACTAGTACTAGATCTAGATCCCTATCAAGGGGGGGGGGGGGGTTTAACATTTTGAAATCGGGCCAAAAATTTCGCAACGACTCAGCCAGCCGCTGATTAAGCGGGGAGGGGGGGGGGGGGGGGGGGAGAGGACATTTAAAAAAAAAAAATTGGTCACAAAAACTTCGCAACGACTCAGCCAGTCGCTGAATAAGCGGGGGGGGGGGGGGTCTTTTTTAGGTCATCCATTAGGATTTTTTTTGATTTTTTTAAAATCAACACTAAGAAAGGGGGGGTTTCCAGAAAAACATATCTAGGTCTACATAAAAAAAAAACTCAAGGGGGAGGTCTAACACCCCCCCCCCCCCCTGCGTACGTGCCTGACCCCTATTATTATTACTTTTAATATATTAGAGATTTCTTTCTTCTCCAAATCGTGCAGTTCATGTTGATAAATCTATTTGTTTGTGTAAGAGAAGACCCCTAGTCCACAATTATGTTTACTTATGTAGTCCACTTCTTCTTGTCTTAATAAACCAATTCTACTATATAAAGCACTTTTGAGGCACAAGTTAAATCTTCCATTTAATTTTACTTTGTACTTTGGTCCATTAAATTGGAATGTTGATTTTCACACCATATTAAAATTAAGGCCAACCATGACATGAAAAATAGCTTTTATGCTAGATCTATATTGATTTTGTTTTCTTTTTGTTTCAACAGATTGAAACTGATGAAGAGCTGGAAGGAGTTAACTGATGAGTAGACATTACAACATTTCTTATAATTTGCAAGATGAAGCTGAAAGTCCCATGCAGGTAAAATTTTCACGATATTTAGCACACAAATATTAAACGACCACCTATCAATTCACTAAAAAGGAAATGAAACTAAGTTTATGTTGCAAGTGTATATAGTGGAAGGGATATTTTATTCTAGTTCTTCCCTTTCTTTGTTGAAAGGGATTTGTCCTTATTTACAGGAGGTCCTGTGTGTACAGAACGATGTCTAATGCACATTCAAAGCACTACATAATAATAATAATGATCATACATGTAGGGTATACACACGACCCCTCATTACTTTTTTTTTGTTAGTGGTCCTTTCACTTCTTGAGCAATGAAGATGAAGAAGAACACAACATAAGATTAATGAAAGTCTGTTTATAGGATGTATTATGGTTGATATGTATCTATTATTATCACTTTTAATTGAAGTACCTAGATTGTTTTCTCTTATGCAGGATGATGCTTCTCTACAGTGGATGATGAAGGCATGCTGATTACAAACCCAGGAGAGGAACAAAGAACAGATATTGACAGAAGCATATCTAGAGATGCGGGCCTACTACACTTCATACGAGCAAGTGTGCTAATATACAATGTAGGTACCCCCAATAACCTATTGTAGAACACATATCATGCAGAAAGTTATAGATCTGAAAAACATATTTTTCATTGTCCGTTACTTGTAAAAGAATACTTGACTGATTAGATTTAAAATAAAATGTTGATATAGATGAAATATAAGTCTACATTACGTATGTTTTAATATCATTATTTCCAGTACATTCTCTGGTCCAAGTTGTGTGGTCATTTTATGTCCCATACTTAACCGAGTATTATTCAATTTTGAGCACAAGTTCACAATACAAGTACATTGTACACGTATTACTTATTTCATACCTTGTCTGATCCAAGCTCCAGCAGGCCTATCGTCTTAATGGGATCATCAGAAATAATCTAACATGTGGTCAGTAACTAGTCTTGTAGGTAAAATAGTTTAGGTTTGCCCACTAGAATCCCAAGTGAATATTAGTCCTTCCTCTTTTTGTCAGAGCAGGTATCAGGGTGTATGTTATTAGTTGTTGTTTATTTTCTTATACACTGTATCTTATTTCATTTTTCCATTCAACAGACTTGGGTTATCATCACAGCCCTTTCTTCTGAAAACTAGCCTACAACTTCATCGATGAATGCAGAAGACATCTACATGGGACTACGTCTTAAAGATGCAACCCTCATATAATGAAAGAGGACATTAGAGATGGGTTTAAACTTGAATATTTACATACTATTTATTTATTATTATAATTTGTATTATATATTTGTAGAATACCACATTTAGAAAAAGCTAATGAATTTATCATCTTGTCAACTTTCAAATATTTAAAGATAACTAATCATCAATGAATAAACATTAACATTTTAACAATGTCAACTACCATCTTATAGGATGAAACTGAGGGCTGGGCAGAAAGAAGTTTCCTTGAAATTTGAGTGATAAAGATCTATCAGTCTATATCAAAGATTGAATTAATCAATGATATTTTAATTATAATTATACATGTTGAAATTCATTTACCTCAGTCTATGGACTTCTGTATTTGAAGTTTTGTAGATTATTACATTATTGCTGCTTCAAGTATTGTATGTAAGAAGGTTTGAAAGACAACCCTCTAAATGCACTAAATATGGAAACTGCTAATCATCATTGCCTTTTGTATCCAAACTGCTAATTTTAATAGAATCATGTTTTGATACTTCCTAGCTTAAGAAAACGGGGGGGGGGGGGGGGGGGGGGGCTTGTTATCCTCTTCCTGGTGCTGTTTCTACATGGACCATGTAACAGGTTGCAAAAGTGTAAACAATATTATATTTGTTATATGTTTATATTAGAAGGATTTAGAAAATGAAAACGTTTTGAATTATAGAATTACTGTTGCTAGAAGTAATGGCAGTATTGATGTGTAAGGGAATGGGGTGGTTTTCCCAGTGAAATTAATGGTATACCAATGTAAAATTAATAAAAAAAGAGAAAACTATTCTTAAAAATAAAATTATAAAGGACATGGGCCTCCTAACTAACAAACCACTTCTGGGTTGTTGTTGTTGTTGTTGTTTTTTTTTTTGGGGGGGGGGGAGGGGGGCAACCCAATTCAAAATTTCCAGCGTTAAATTCCATTGTCTTTAAACAAAAATTATGTCAAGATGTTGAAAAACAATGTTTCACTTTCAGTTTTCAAGTTAGAAAATTTGAATAAAATGATTAACATATTTTCCGATCTCTCTGGTCTTTACATTAAACATGTTCAAAGCTCCTGCAAAGGCTGCAAAAAGGAAAAGTGAAGATAATCCAAGTGAAATGTGGACAGTAATGGAGTGAATATGGAATGGTTGATCGTAGTTGATAACGAGTAAACGTAAATGAGTGGTAATAACAACTACGAAAAAAAAGTGAGACAGAATGGAACTACA